ATCCCTTCCTGCCTTGTGGAAGGTGGTCTTTCTCTCCGTTGCCTCCCGCCTGCACCCCAGCCAACCTCCACATCAGATTGTGAGTACCCTCTGGGCAGGGACAACTTCTCAGTCACCCCTCTATCCTCTCTGACGTGGCTTTTTATACCCAGCACATGCTCGACTACACTTACTGAAGGTCTACGACATGTGCCAGGCACATGCTGGAGACCAAAGAAGAGGAAGATGCCCAGCCGGTGTGGCTCAGTGGTTGACCATTGACCTATGAACCAGGAGGTTGCGGTTTGATTACCAGTCGGGCACATGCCCGGATTGTGGGCTCGATCCCCAGTGGGGGTGTGCAGGAGGCAGCCGATTGATGATTCTCTTTCATCATTGATGTTTCTATCTCTCCCTCTCCCTTCCTCTCTGAAATAAATAAAAATATATTTTAAAAAAAAGAAGAATAGAACTACCATATCTTCTAGCTATTTTACTTTGGGGTATTTATCTAAAGAATATGAAAACACTAATTCGAAAGGATATGTGCACCCTCATGTTCACTGCAGCATTATTTACAATAGCCAAGATAAGGAAGCAGCCTAAGTGTCTATCTATGGGTGAATCGATATAGAATGGAATATGAATCAGCCATCGGAAAGAACAAATTCTCGCCATTTGCAACAACATGGATAGACCGTGAGGGCATGATGCTAATTGAAATAAGCCAGATGGAGAAAGACAAATACCATATGATTTCACTTATACGTAAAAATCTAACCCCCCAAAACAAACAAACAAACAAATAAAACCGATCTCATAGATACAGAAAACAGGTTGTTGGTTAACAGAAGGAGAGAGGGTTTAGGGGGTGGGTGATATGAGCAAAAGGGTCAACTGTGTGGTGATGGATAGTAACTGGACTTTTGGTGGTGATCACTGTGTACAGATGTCGAATTATAATATTGATTATACAGCTGAAACTTATGTAAAGTTATAAACCAATTTTATCTCAAGTAAAAAAATAAAAGGACTTGGCAGATAAGTGGTAGGAAGTGCTGATGGCATCCACCTTTACCCCTCAGGCCTTATCATGTTAGTTCTCCGGGCTTCCTTTTGCTGCCGGTTCTGCACCTCTGCCTGAGTGCTTTCTCCAAAGACAGAAGGGTCCCTCTGCTAGCACACGGCAGAGGCCTGATGGAGCTGGTGCTAGTACCCCACTTCCTTGCCTTCCCCTCTCCTGTATTCTGTTCTGCTCCCCAGAACCCCCATGGGGTACGTTCCAGGCTCCCACAGTGGTAGCTGGTTGGATAACATACTCTTTGTTGAGTCCCTTCTCTGCTCCTTCTTCTCCTGGTATATTGGTACTCTCTCCCCCTCCCTCAACGTCCCAAGTAAACTACCCCCACTTCTCCACTTCAATATTTGTCTCAGGATCCGTTTCTGGGGGAACCTAAACAAAGACATACATTCATCATGTCCATGAATGTTCAGCCTCCCAGCTGTAAGGGAATTAAATACACGTCTGTCTTCTCTCTGCAAAAGGTTTCAAAAGCCGGGCGTGCTAAGCCATTTCACATTTACGCTTTGCGGCCAAGACACGGACAAGAGGTGCTCAGGATGGGCAGATGTCAGCCCCCAGGGCCTGCCTGCAGCTGACAAAACTATTGACCGGAGGACTTCTGGCTGTCAGTTCTGATCTCTGTTGACGGCCAGAGGAATTCGCTCCTTCTGCAAATATTTTCAGAGCTCGGCCTCTCTGCGAGAGGCTCAGGCAGCATCGGCCGAACGTACACAAGTGCTGTGTGTGTTCTCTGAGATGTGGCTTTCAGACGACTCCATAAAAAAGACGCGAATGAGTCGGTTCAGAATGAATGTTTGAATTACTGTTGGGCTGGTGATGATTCTCAAGAGGGTGAGGGGTGGACAGTAATGACCAAGTTTTTTCTTTTTCTTTTTCACACTAGGCAGGATACACTCCTGTTCATTACAATGCCCCTCCCCCCTTTCGCAAAGAAATAAACACTCCAGTGCGTGTGCACCCAGGAGCGTTGGGACAGAAGCAAGGCTGCAAACTGCTGGGCCACCGAGATTTAGCTTTGGGGGCAGAGCCAGGGAGAAATAACAGCCCCAGGCAGAGACAAGGTCCCTAGACCTAGAGCTGAGCCGGGAGAACTAAATGAAGCCACACCCACCCACCCAGCGAGTGCCCGCTGCCCGCCCTGGGCCTCCGTCTCCCCACCTCTAAGGTGAGGGGGTGGAAATGGATGGCTTCTAGGGTCATTAGTGATAAATATTCAGGACTCTCCTAAAGAAGAAGGAATGGACCCAAATCGAATCTACGGTTGGGTTTTGCTTTCCCTCTGTGTTATTCACCTCTCACCAGGTTGGGTGGGGCTGCATTTTGTGGGGTTATCGGGCACTATTTGCCATAAAAGTGTTTGTAGTTACCTGGTCAAGGAACTAAAGGTTAGAAAGAAGAGAAGCTGTAGAAGGGGGGTTGGAGGGGGGGCAGCGGGGAAATGGAAGGTGTTTTCTGGGCTGGAGAACATTGAAGGCTCCAGAATTGGTGAAGACCCAGCTGGGAATGTTCCTATCAGTCCTTGGGGCAGGGGAGTGAAGGGGGCAGGAGAGGACAGAAAGTGAAAGGTCCTCCTGGTTTTCTTGTGGAGGGTTTTATCTATCTCATGGTTCTCAACCCTGGCCGTGCATTAAATCATGCAGCTTAGCCAAAACCGGTTTGGCTCAGTGGATAGATCGTCGGCCTGCGGACTGAAAGGTCCCAGGTTCAATTCCGGTCAAGGGCATGTACCTGGGTTGCGGGCACATCCCCAGTGGGAGATGTGCAGGAGGCAGCTGATCGATGTTTCTCTCCCATCGATGTTTCTAACTATCTATCTCTCTCCCTTCCTCTCTGTAAAAAATCAATAAAATATATTTTTAAAAAAAATCACGCAGCTTACAGAACTACAAAGCCCTGGCTGGGTAGCTCAGCTGGTTGGAGCATCGTCGCAAAGCACCAAGGTTGCGGGTTCGATCTCTGGTCTAGGTACACACAGGAATCAACTAGTGAATGCATGCCTGGGTGGAACAACAAATTGCTCTCAAATTGCTCTCTCTCTTTTCCTCCCTCTCTCCTACCTCTCTGAGAGAGAGAGAGAGAGAGAGAGAGAGAGAGAGAGAGAGAGAGAGAGAACGAACCCGGCTGGTGTGTGTACCTCAGTGGTTGAGTATTGACTCATGAACTAGGAGGTCAGGGTTCTATTCCAGGTCAGGACACATGCCCAGGTTTCAGGCTCGATTCCTAGTAAGGGGCGTGCAGGAGGCAGCCAATCAATGATTCTCTCCCATCATTGATGTTTCTTTCTCTCTATCCTTCTCCCTTCCTCTTTCTGAAATCAATAAAAAAGGGGGGGGGAGAGAGAGAAAGAGAGAGGGGGAGAGAGAGAGAGAGAGAGAGAGAGAGAGAGAGAGAGAGAGAGAGAACCACAAAGTCCCTCTCCTCCTTCTGATTTACTTGGTTCTGGATGGGGCCTGGGCGTGGGCCCTTTTGAAAATGCTCTGACATAGTTCTGTGCAGCCAGGGTAGAGAAGCGCTCCATGGCAACCCAGGACGCAGGAGCAGCCCCCTCGCCTTGCCTCACGTGGCTGCCTTAGTTCTCACACTTCCTTCACGCTGTCCTCCCTCTTCTGCCCTTTCCATCCTCTGCCTCAAAATCCCAGTCATCCATGGGTAGGGGATGGAGAAGGAAGAAACCCTGTGCATTCTATTTCTGGTTAATGCCTTTATTATTTACGAAGTTTAATAAAAATCATTTTCTTCCCTGAATAGAATTCATACGACTTAAGAAAAACTCAAGAAATACTCAAAAGCAAGAAAAACATTTCACAGTGTTCGACAGGCCCCTCACTCAAAGACAACCACCACTAGCACCATGAATGCTGTAGTGTTTTCTTTCTAATCTTTCCGTGATGCCTACTTTCTCTGTTTGAATGCTTTACCCTACTGTATACACCAGGGTGGGCACACTGTAGCCCGCAGGCCAAATCCAGCCCACCTCCTGTTTCTGTAAATAAAGTTTTATTGGCACACAGCCATGCTCACTTGTGACTTATTGTCTCCAGCAGCTTTCACATCACAGTGGCAGAACTGAATATTGCGACAGAGGCCATTTGGCCCAGAAACCTAAATATCTACTGTCTTGTTCTTTGCAGAAAATGCTTTTGGCCCTGGTATACACCACTCTGCACTCTCACGCTTATTGCATGCGTATTTCCCAGGTTGTTATAAATGCTTCACAAATATCACTTCCCATAACTGTCTGATACGTCATTGCACGGTTGGTCTTTATCCTATTATTAAACATTTATGTGTTATTTCCCCAAACGTTTTCACTCTTGTAATGAATGCATCCGTGAGTACACTTGGATGTACACTTTGCTTGCATTTTCAATGATGTCTTTAGGACAGTGTCCAGATTATTCAACCGGTAGGTAGGGGCAGTATAAGACTCTTGATTCATATCACCAAATTCCTTATGCAAATGGGTCATAGAAGTGCTTCCTGAAATATAGGTGAAAACCTCCTTCTCTACACACTCACCAGCAGTATTATTATTATTATTATTATTATTATTATTATTACTAGAGGCCTGGTGCATGCATTCATGCACGGGTGGGGTCCGCCCTGCCCTGCCCCAATCAAGACGATTGGGGCTGGGCCGGCCAGGGGGAGAGCCTGTGGACAGTTGGCCGGCCGGCCCCACCCCCTGGTTGAACTCCTGGTCGAGAGGGGACAATTTGCATATCAGCCTTTTATCATATAGGATAGGATTATTCCATTTTAAACATTTTCTGTTTTTAGACAGGCAAACAACAAACTGTTATCTTAATATGCATTTCCTGTATGTCCACTGGGACCGAGACAGCTGCACTTGTTCCTTCGCACGTTGACCGCTTTTCCTCTTTGCTTGGCCTCCTTCCGCACAGGGCAGAGTGGAGGTGCGGGCCCTACCTCTCACCTTGGCTTGGAGCAAGGCTCCTGCTTCCACCCGGTTCTTTTCGACATCTCTCTCCCAGTGAATTCTGATCGCCTCAAGGACATCATCCAGACCAGCGCCCAGGGGGACGTCCACCTGTTCCAGCTCAGACTGGTCCTGAAGCCTTTTGAGTATGAGACATCTTGCTAGCCTGACCCCTACATTGGGACTGAAAGCATTTTACCAGCCCTGGGCAAGTGACATGGAGAGGCCCAGGTGAGCTACCATCACCTATGTTTTCTTTTATTATTATTTTTATTGATTTTTAGAGAGAGAGAGAGGAAGGGAGAGGGAGAGAGAAAAACATTGATGTGAGAGCAGAACATTGATTAGCTGCCTCCTATACCCCCTTCTCCTCGGGCACCTCCCCCCCCCCCCCACACACACACTGAGGATCGAGCCCGCAACCCCTGCATGTGCCCTGACCGGAATTGAACCAGCAACCTTTTGGTGCATGGGACGATGCCCAACCCATTGAGCACACCAGCCAGGGCCCATCACCTGTGTTTTGAAGCTCGGCCAGACAGGTGAATATAGCCAACCCAGCGTCAGCCCAGCCCCACCTACCTCTTCATAGCTCCTTGTCAGAAAGCCAAGCTCTTCTTTCAGGCTTTCTATTTGACTTTCCAGATCAATTGTTGTCAAATTAGCTTCATCGATGACTTTATAGAGAGAGTTAATTTCGTCTTCCGCGGCCTTTCGAAATGGCTGCTCATTTTCATATCTGCAGATAAAGGAACTTAATCAGCATAGCTAGGTGACCGAAAAGAGAAAATAATCTATATATATAAAAGGCTAAGTGTTCGTCTGACCGGTAGCTATGACGTGCACTGACCACCAGGGGGCAGACGCTCAATGCAGGAGCTGCCGTGACCCACACTGGCCATTTAAAAATAAACGGTACCATGAATCTGGTGCCGACAAATCAACACTCGGCTTCCTCCAAGCGGGACACAGGCCCCACCACCACCCTGTAATGAGAGCCCACCAAATCGCAGCCGAAGTTGCCGAGACCTCATGGCGCAAAATGCAGCCCACAGCCCAGCCTAGCCTGAAAAGGTCACTGTGGGCGCCAGGTAATGACATCACATAGCAACACCTGGCATCCTCTCCCTAGCAACTAGCCTCCTTGGAATTTCTTCAGCCCAGAAACCTGACTTGCTTTATAGCCAGGTGGAAACATTTTACAGTTTAACCAAATGTTTGTGAAGCTTTTTTCCGTGCCTCATCTCATTTGATCCTCACAGAAGTCCTGGAGTAGGTAGATAGGAGACACGGTGGAAACCAATTTTCTTTTCATTAGCCAGAAAACAGAGATTTAAAAAGTTTAGAAACTTGACCCGACTGAAAAGAAGAAATGGTGGACCTTGAAAATGACTTCAGGTTTTCTCACTGTGCAGAACATAGTCAAACACTGCTGCAGTTAAACATTTTACCCTTTGTTCTCCCTGCGTGATCTACAATAATAATCTGCTTCGTGTTGATATTGCTGTGTTGCTGACAATTACCTGAAAGAGAAGTTGGGGTGCGTCACTGGGCTGGAAAAAGTTTAGCGAAATCGGAAAGCAGGTCTAATTAAGCAAGTTTATTCTATATCTATAAAAGGCTAAGTTGACTCCTGCATGTGTGATACATATAAAGCTCTCACTGGCGCCAGTCGCATGTGTGTGTTTCGGTCTGTCATTGTCGATTGTGAATTTGGTTGGTACTTCTATTATAGAGAAAGGGCGAATAGCGATATTAAAATATTTCTTCTAATTAATTTCCTTTCCATGTGCACAATCCGTGCACCGGGCCACTAGTCAGATTATGAATGTCACCAACAGGCCAATTGTGTGCTAGTTTACAGTGAATGTTAGAGATCACTTTTCCAGCAGCTTCAAGGACATGGTGAATGCAACTGTTGCATATTGATTTGTTACAATGAGAATAACTCTTGTCAACTTCTGATAACCTGGCTTAACGCGGGGCTGGCCTTAAGGGGCACTGGAAGCATGGGCCTCTAGGGTGAGTTCAGGAGTTCAGGGGTCAGGCACCGTCATCACCCTTCCCACCTGAAGATCCTTTAGCACCTGTTACCGAGACTCTGCCAGGTACCGAGCTATGTACCAATGACCCCAAAATGAAGAGTGTGGTTTCTATCTCCAAAGAGCCCACATGGAACTTCAGGACCATGGCTGCCAACTCAAATGCCTCCAGGGGCCAAGTGGCCTGTGTAGGTGAGGGACCAGGGCCAGGTCTGGGCAGCAGAGATGACGGTTTGTATTTCACCTAAAGGGGCGCTGCTGCTCAGCTCCTTCCGTCACTGCTGAGTGGGGAGGGCATGCCGTTTCTCCTCAAGGAAATGGGAAAGCTGGATTTAGAGGTGAAATACCCAGAGCTGTCAAACTCACAACTTATTCAATAACACACATGCTCACACACGTGCACACACTCACGGGAGTCTGAAAGTGCCCACTCTGAGCTCTTCCCATCTCTGGTTTACACATGGCCTTCTTTCTAAAAACTACCCAGCATCTTTGCCAATGTCTCCCCGTGTCACTCCTTTCCTTCCAAGGCCTTCTCCCCAGCTGTGCCACTCAGCCAACGTTCACAGCTTACCTTAACCCACTCACGGAAAGGAGAAATCTCACACTCCTCATTCCAGAAAGCATCTTAGTGTCTTGGAATTTTAAAGGGACTTTAGCATTCAACTATTCTAACTCCTACCCAGTGACAGTCCCTTGATGGCATTCTTTTTTTTTTAATATATATTTTATTGATTTTTTACAGAGAGGAAGGGAGAGGGATAGGGAGTTAGAAACATTGATGAGAGAGAAACATCGATCAGCTGCCTCCTGCACACTCCCCACTGGGGATGTGCCCGCAACCAAGGTACATGCCCTTGACCGGAATTGAACCCGGGACCCTTCAGTCCGCAGGCCAATGCTCTATCCACTGAGCCAAACCAGTCAGGACTTGATGGCATTCTTGATAAGTGATCACGTAGCCTCTGCTTGAATACTTCCAGCGACAGGCAACTCATCACCACTCAAGGCCACCATTCCATTTTTGGACAGTTCTACTTATTGTAAATCCCCGCCCCCCTCCCCCCCCCCCCGAGAGCTTAAATCTCCATCCTTTTTTATATTTTATTGATTTTTACAGAGAGGAAGGGAGAGGGATAGAGAGTTAGAAACATTGATGAGAGAGAAACATCAATCAGCTGCCTCCTGTACACCCCCCACTGGGGATGTGCCCGCAACCAACGTACATGCCCTTGACCGGAATTGAACCTGGAACCCTTCAGTCTGCAGGACGATGCTCTGTCCACTGAGCCAAACCGGTCAGGGCTAAATCTCCATTCTTATACGAATCTGCCAAGTACTGGGTTCCATCCTTTGGAACAACCAAAATCAGTCTAATTCTTCCTTCTGACAATCCCACAAGTATTTACTAGTAGAGGCTGTCTCTTCTGTTACTCTCTCATTTCCCCTCCCCACCGCCCACCTCTCCAAGCCTTTGTTCCTCAGGTTATACCTTCCCAGTTCCTTCCTCTATTCTTGACATAAATTGGTTTCCACATCCCTCATCATGGAGGGCAGGGGCTAGGACAGTGATGGCGAACCTTTTGAGCTCGGCGTGTCAGCATTTTGAAAAACTCTAACTTAACTCTGGTGCCGTGTCACATATAGAAATTTTTTGATATTTGCAACCATAGTAAAACAAAGACTTATATTTTTGATATTTATTTTATATATTTAAATGCCATTTAACAAAGAAAAATCAACCAAAAAAATGAGTTCGCGTGTCACCTCTGACACACGTGTCATAGGTTCGCCATCACTGGGCTATGACCTTTCCCTCTTTGTATCCTCAGCACCCAGCTCCAGACTCCAGACATATCTGTGGGATGATTATAAATGCTCTAATTGGTCTTACCCCCTTCTTAAAATGTGATACAGAACGCAAAACTCCAGAGTCCCGTGGGACTGTCTGCCCTTTGTTCAATCCTTTTAATGCTCTTCAGCATGGACCCTAAGATTTGCTTTGTGGGTTTTGTTGGCTTGTATGTTTGTTCGTTTGATCTGGACCAGCTGTATTTGCTGCTGACTAATATTGGGTTTCCCCCTGAGCATTTTTCTCAAGAGCTGCTTTAAGCCCAGCTTCCCGGTCCTCCCCGGGGCACCTGGTATTTGAGCCACAAAGTAGGAGCTCATATTTATTCTCTTTCAGTGGCCTTGGGCCATTGTTCCAATGTGTTGGGATCATCTTGAACCCTGATTCTGTCACTCTACTCTTCACCCCCCTCCTGGTTTGTATCTTCTGCTGTTTGGCCACACCTGCTTCCAGGCACCTTGCAGTTAAAAGTAGTAAATGAAAGAATGCAGGACGGAGCCCGGTGGCATCCATCAGAGACCTCCCTCAGGGCGGACCTGCATCTTGGATCGGCACTTGGGAGACGGTTTCTAAAGCATTTTTCTAGTGTTTTATGTGTAGGATTAACTTTTCTATCCAAGTGTATTCTTTATGAAGATTGTATTCTTCTTTTGTTTTGTTAATCCTCGCCCGAGGATATTTTCCCATTGAGTTTTAGAGGATGGAAGAGAGCGGGGGAGATACACAGAGAAACACGGATGTGAGAGAGACACACATCAGTTGGTTGCCTCCCAACCAGGGCCGAGGATTGAGCCTGCAACCAAGTCACATGCCCTTGACCGGAACCGAACCTGGGACCCTGCAGGCCGATGCTTGATTCATTGAGCCAAACCGGCCAGGGTGAAGGATTGTGTTCCTATCAACACTTCCTCCTTTTGGGAACAAGTCCTGTCCTTCCAGCGAAATGAAAACCCACCCCTGTGACTGGGCTTGGGCCCTGCTGCTCCAGGTTGGAAGAGTCCCCAGGGGCCTCCGGAGCCCTGCTTGGCTCACCTCTCCAGGGAGCCTGGTCCCTCCGGGATGTGGTCCATTCAGCAAACTCTCTGAGCCCTCGGGACCATGTTTGTGTCTGTAAGGAGGGTCCGGGCCTGACCATCTTGGCCACCATTCAATGACACACGTGCTCACACACGTGCACACACACACTCATGGGAGTCTGAACGCGCCCACTCTGAGCTCTTCCCATCTCTGGTTGACACAGGGCCTTCTTTCTAAGAACTACCCAGCATCTTTGCCAATGTCTCCCCCTGTCACTCCTTTCCGTCCATGGCCTTCTCCCCAGCTCTGGATTCTCCCCGGACTGTTTCCCCACCCCAGCCTTCCATGTGGCCGGAGGAGAAAGCTGCAGACGCCAGAGAGCATTACCCGAGTCCCCAAGAGTCTGGAGGTAACGGGGGGAGGGGTGGTCGTTGGGGGGGGCTCCCCCCTGTGGCAAAACATTACCTGTCTTTAAAGGCATCCGCACCCGCCTGGATGTTCTCCGTCCGCAGCACGAGCCGGGCGTTTTCCAAGACGGCCTCGCCCACCTGGAACAGTCACACAGCAGAGCAAGGTCACAGCAAGGCCAGCCCTCTCCTCGCAGAGACTCCTGCCGGGCACAGGGGCTCTGGGCACCTCTGTGTCCCTCTTGGAAAAGGGGGGGCGGAGGAGAAAGCTCAGAACCAGGATGCATTTTTTCTTTTCTTATCGTCACCTCAAGACATGTTTTTATTGATTTTAGAGAAAAAGGAAGGGAGAGAGAAACATCGATGTGGTAGAGAAACATCCATCGGTTGCCTCGGGAATCAAACCCGCAACCAGTTGGTGTTCAGGACAACACTCCAACCAACCGGCCACGTGGCCAGGGCAGGATCTGGATGTTTTGTGTTTTTTAAAAAAATATATATTTTATTGAGTTTTTACAGAGAGGAATAGATAGTTGGAAACATCGATCAGATCGATCTGCTGCCTCCTGCACATTCCCTACTGCGGATGTGCCCGCAACCAAGGTACATGCCCTTGACCGGAATCGAACCTGGGACCCTTGAGTCCGCAGGCCGACCCTCTATCCACTGAGCCAAACCGGTTAGGGCAGGATCTGGATGTTTTTAAAGCGCTTTAGAGTTGGATTTTTGGAGCAAAAAGATCACTCCATGGTAGACTTGTTCACAGCCTTCCTGCTTTACTGTTGATTAGTACCAACCAGGGGCTTATTCAAGCCTCAAGTGGAGGCTAATTATAGGCTCTGACTTGCCAAAGTGCAGCTGGCTGGCTGGGTTCCCCATCCCCTTCACGGACGGAATCCTGAAATGACCCGCAGTCCACCATACGGCCACAGAGGGCCCTTCATGGTTCCCCTGCAGGCACCCAGCCCAGCAGGGGCTACGTCCTCTCTGGTGTTAGCAGTGGCACTGCCATCCCAGCGGTAGGAAGGGCCAGGCAGGCAGCGTGGTGAGGGCTGGGCCTTGGCTGAGGTTGAGCCTGGGCTGAGGACTGGGATGGGGCCACGTCCAAAAGCAAAGCTTGGAGCCTGCAGTGGGACAGGGAACATCTTTGTTTCTACCTGGGAAAGCTTCATGAAATCCTCGCTGGGGCTGAGGATAGCAAAGGGGGAGGAAAGGGAAGTGCCTGGCCCATGGCCTGGTGGAACTGGCTGGTAGTGAGAGCAGATAGTAAATATTCCAGGAGTTCTGTGAGCTGGTTGTGAAACACAGCCGTCATGAAAATTTTAATTGTGTGAACTTACAACTAAATACATTATTTCAAAAACACAGGTGATACTCAAAATGCAAATGTCATAAAAACTCACCGCTTCCTAATTATTTTACTAGGTGTTACTGTCATCTCTGCATATATAAGGGTGTGCTCAACCCTTCATCCAGTGACAGCATGTTGTTAGCTTGATATCAGCCATGGTGGGAATATTTACACCAGGGCAATTGGCAAACTGTTTTATGCCTGGATTGCTGATTGTGAAACACTCACTGACTGAGCCCCACATTCTATTAAATACTTAATATTCATGACTTTGCTAAATGCCCTGGCACCCCTCTGAGGTGGATTTTCAGCACACCCATCTTATAGATAAGGAAGCTGAGGCTCAGAGAGCTTAAGTAAGTTGCCCCAAATCACATGGCTGGAGAGTGGCAGGGGCAGAATGCCGAACCAGGTCAATGTGATTGCATATGTTGTCATCAGCTTTGGGAACTGAAAGGCACATCAGAATCCAGAGAGACTGCTGTGGAGGATTGCTTTCTGTCTTCCTCCTGTGACGTAGAGCAGCCAGGGCTACAGGTTCCTAGCTGGGCTACATCATGAAGATAAAGACGTGTCTTCCCTGGTGGTTATGAAAATGCTGAGCAAACCAAACCAAACCAAACCACAGCCTGCGCATGGGGCCTGGGAAGGCTAGCAGAGGAGGCCCTCTCCTCCTCCTCCTCCTCCTTCTGCCTAATATAGAGCCAGAAATCCTACCCTCAAGGCGACATGACGTAATGCCAGGCCTCCTGTTAAAACCAGACACTTTGCCACGGCAGCAATAGTGCGAATTGCAGTGTGAGATTGGGTGGCTTGGGGCCTATCTCCTCAGCAGCATGTTTTATTTTTATTTATTTATTTATGAGAGAGAGAGAGAGAGAGAGAGAGAGAGAGAGAGAGAGAGAGAATTTGTTGTTCCACTTACTCATGCATTATTTGGTTGATTCTTCTATGTGCCCTGACCCTCCCAGCAACCTTGGTGTATCTGGATGATGCTCCAACCAATTGAGCTACTCAGCAGTATTTTAAAAGAGTCACCAAAGTCTCACTAGAGTGAGAAACAGGAGACCCCTTCAAAGCAAAAATGCAGCCGAGGAGAACGGTTGAGGACCAGGAGCATGGGGGTCAGAGGTCATGGCAGGCTCCCATTAGTTCCGAGAGGGACGGTGCGGAAGGGGAAAGGGCAGGCTGCTGACCACTGGCCTCTGTCGGCTCAAACTGCTCACCGTCTTCCCTGCCCCTCCACGCGGAGGCTTCCTCAGCAGGCCTTGCACCTGTGGTTCCCAAAGTGTGGTCCCTGGTCCAGCAGCAGCACCACCTCAAAACTTGTCAGAAATGCAACTTCTCAGACGCTAACCCTCTGCAAGTGGGGCCCAACCACCTGTTGTAACAAGGTTTCTAGGGGCTTACAAGGTGCACTAGACTCGGAGAACCCCTACTTTGCACCAACCTGCCTCCAGGCCTGCTCATGTCACCTCCCAGGGGAAGTCCTCCAGGTCCTCGTCTGTGTGGTGGCCTGGATCCAGAACACCTGATTTTACCACCTCACACCTCTTGCCCTTCCACCTGAGAAACCCACCCCACTTTAAAGCTCATCTCAAACACGGCTGCCTCTGGAAAGCTTTTATCTAAAGATACATTTTTATTGGTTTCAGAGAGGAGTGAACAGAGAGAGAGATAGAAACATCAATGATGAGAGAGAATCATTGATCAGCTGCCTCCTGCACACCCCACACTGAGTTTGAGCCCACAACCTGGGCATGTGCCCTGCCTGGGAAGCGAACGTGACTTCCTGGTTCCTGGGTCGATGCTCAAGCACTGAGCTATGCTGGCTGGGCTCGGGGAAGCCTTCTGATCCATCCACCCCCGAATTCTCGCCTTCATCAGCACATGACTGTTTCCTGTGAGCCGGGCTCTGAGCTGCCTGGGGGGCATCAGCAGCCCTCCTGAGAGAGGTGGTTAGAAAGGGAGGAAGGCCAGGCCCCGGCGGGAAGGCCCTGGGAACCGTGGAAAGGAGGTGGGATTTACTTGGAAGCCATGAAAAGGTTCTGAGCAGGCGAGACCCCTGACTCTAGCGGGAAGGGGGTTGTGAGAGGCAGGAGGCGATGCTCAGGGCCCAGCTGGGGGGCTGCCCGGGAGATGCTGGCGGCTTTGGCCAGGGTGGTTGTCGGGATGGTGGAGAGAAGCCGACAGGTTTAAGACACATGTTGGGGGTGGGACAGACAGTTTTTGGTGATGAAGCAGTTGTGGGGAGAGTGAGCAAAAGGAATCGACGGCCCGAGGTTTCTAGCCTGAGCTGCGAGGTGCACGGTGCTGACTCTTCCTCCCTCCTTGGGCCACTCCTGCGTCTGAGCCCCGACCCCACGGCCCAGGCCCCTCTCGCACGCTCAGGACACAGTGGTGGTTCTCTTATCCTCGAGCCAGCTCTTCCTCTCACCACTTGGGCCGTCCCCTGGGGAACTCTAAGACTTGCTTTCTTCGTCCATAAGACGAGGATGATGATGCGTCCCACCTCCTGGTACTTGGGAGAATTAAACGAGCCACGGCCTGAACAGCGCTTGGCTGCCTGTCTGGCGCGCAGTGAGTAGCCTGTGAATGGCAGCCGCTGTTGCTACTGTTATTTGTCTTAATACAGAGGTTGTTCCACGATTGTCAACCGGCCTGACGGGTGTGTGCAGCCTGGCACGGTCCCTGCGCCGCCGCATGGCGGTTGGATGGAGATTTCTATCTGGCGGCTGGATTTTGTTCTTCCCTCGGTGTTTCCTGCCCACAGTCATTTTGAAAAGTCACTGGCACGAGGATGAGGATTCTTGTCCTTCGCACTGCTGTCCCCACCGGATGCAGTTGCTAAAATAAAAGGAGCTGGAGGCGGCGGGTGAGAGATTCGACCATCGTGGTGTCAGAAGAGGGCAAGGACAGGCAGCATTTTAAAAAGTGTCATCCATTGGGCCCCAGGGTCCAATGAATGCTGAGTTGGAGTTGAAGATAGTGGCATCCCAGCAGCCAGAGCTGCAGGCGGAGGAGGCGGGCTAGACGGGGCTCCTGGGAAATTAGGCTGGGCTGGCGCGGTGGCCTGAGGCAGGAGTCCCTGGAAATCCTTCTCACATCCGAGCGACTTTCACGTTTAGGACAAATGCTCAGCATGACTTGCTTCCAGCAATAACTAAACGTCATACCCCGGAGGCGGCGCGTCTCTACCCCGGTGGTGAGGACCGCGTGGGACCAAGCCGAGCAGGGGCTTCTCCGAGCTCATGGTGACTGCCAGTGGCCTTTCCCACAGACGTCACTCCCCCCTGGTTCCCATGACACCTTTCTCCTGCTCTTCCTCCCACCTCGTTGGCCATTTTCATTGACCTTCTCCTTCGTTGTCTTTTTTTAAAAAAAAATATGTTTTTATTGATTTCGGAGAGGAAGGGAGAGGGAGAGAGACAGAAACATCAATGATGACAGAGAATCATCGATCGGCTGCCTCCTGCACGCCCCACACTGGGGATCGAGCCCACAGCCCTGATGGGGAATCGAACCATGACCTCCTGGTCGACACTCAACCACTGAGCCACCCCGGCTGGGTGTCCTTCATTAAGTCTTTCTTCATTACCCACCCTGGAATTTTTTTTATCTCTCTGTCTTTCCCACCACGGACCTATGTGTCCCCAGGGCAGACACCACCTCTCATTTCTGCCTCCTCAGCACCCAGCTCCATGCCTGGCACCAGCCTCTACTCCCATCTCTGAGGTGATTCCGCCCATGTCGCTTCATCTAACTTCACTAGCCCAGGCTCTATTACTCT